TTCCCAAAACTGAGTCGACGAAGAAAATTCGAGTACTACCCCTTCCAAAAGATTATCCCAAGAATATTCTATTGAGGAGCTTGCAACTGCAACTATGTTGTCACCTAAGCAATCTACAACGAAGAGTGTGAAGCATGCTAAGAAGGAACGATTCAAATTTTTTTGAACATAAAAGTCAACACAACATGAGCATACTCTCTTAGATTTCAAGAAAGAGATTTTACTTGAATGCATGTTATCTCTCAAACTTATCCAACAATCTGGTATGTGATAGAAAAACATAAAGCTTTAGCAAAACCATGTATGACCCTTATTTTTCAGTAACTGTTTGCACATCATTACAGTGTTATACTTGTGAATGTCTTCCTTAGTTATGAATGTATTTGAGACTAAAATATATTTATGAAGTGCTATGTGATTATTGTTGCATCTTATTACTATGCTTATGTTGGAATGATTAATGCATGAGCATACTACTATGTGAACTACTATTTGATATATTTTGAATGTAAAACACACTGCAACATTATGTTTATTATGTCTATTGCAGACTAATGAACCGTGTATTTTCAAATTATTCTTGTATTAATAATTTACACCTAATGCATACTTGAGGATGTAGCTATTACCCAAATACAAGGCTTTATTACTCTGCAGAATCAGGGAAATGGTATTGTGTATTGAGATTCATCTTAGTACATGTCATGTGTCATTTTTTGTTTGTAATATCTTTTAGCCATCTGAAGTAGGGTACATGGCCAATTCAGGTACTGTTATTGGAGCCTTTTGTTTAAACTCTGGGACTATCTGTCTGCAACTTGCAGGGGCATGCTCTTGATTTTCCAATCAATAACATTTAGCACTTAAACTGGTAAGTCACTGAAGAAGTGTGTAGGCACTGTTGGAATTCTAGACACATCTTATAAAAAAAATAGAGTTTGAGAACAACATTCTATAGACATGTTCATATCTTAATATGATATTTGATATTGAAACATTATGCTATCATATGGCTCTAAAAGACATTACGTAAATGTTTAGAATATATGTGATTTGGTATACTAATGTCATTATTTATAGACCTTGTCATGCTTCTTACTGCTCTATAAGTTATTTTAACAGCACTTTCAGTAGTATTAACATGCTGTCCACCAGCACCACTAGCGTGAAATCGTTCAATTCGAAGATTAGATTTGTTAATCTGTACATTTAAAGATTGATCATGAAGGTTTGGAATGACTGCTACAACAACAAATGAAGTATGTCGGTGCTTACTGTCATATTTTTGGATTCACATTTGACCAATTTTATTGCAAAACTTAAATGTTCCTTAATATTTCAATTGTATCTTTGCTATTGTGTTGATCAACTTTACTTATATTTTGTCCATTTCATATGTGCAAGTTAACAAACAATGCGATCCTCTCCTTTCTATAGTCTGTTTAGCTTCGCTCTTTGTTGCTTCAACTTTTGCTCTCTTCAGCCTAGAATACCAGAAGGTAATACTCACATTTTCTTTGTTTTTTTTAAAGTTGAATCGATGTTACCATTTTGATTTTCAAATGTTCATATTTCGGATTGGATAAGTTTTTAATCACTAATATTTTGGTTGTTTTTATTTAATAAGGTTATGGTCACATGGCAGAAAAACACTTATTCCATATTTCCAATCCAACTTTCTTATTTGGACAATATCAATCTAGCCGGATTATTTTGGTACTCCTTATTTCAAATTCACTATAAATTAATATATAAACTTGGAGCAAGTTAAGCATACTGTTGGATTATAGTTATTCAATACTCAGTTTTCAATGATGTAGAAAAAGTAAAATATAGTCCATATTGCATGGTTTATCAGATATTGAGGTTTTTGCCGATTGTAGAAATTTTAGTCTTGTAGGGATTTAGAAATCATTTTGAGTTGGCTTGGTGTAAATACAACTGCACGTTCAGCCTGCTGTTCTTGGTCAGAGATATAGGGGCAGATTATGTTTTGTAGGTAATCGATAGATAGCAAGGTGAAAGGCTATAACGGGATATTGTTGTAATTCTGATATTGCAATGTACATGTTTCTGATACATATGGCACGTCTAACAGGAAACTATTATTAAGAGGACATGGCTCAAGTACTGCCATAATTTATTGTATACCTTATCACATGGACAATCATATATGTTCACAACCTCTATAATCCGCTGACTTAACATGTTGGGATAATTCAAATTGCAGGCAATGAATTTTTTGCTGGCTTATTGCTGCTTTTGATGCCTGAAGAAAATGCCTTTTGGTAGGTCTCGATAAAGCTTCCTTAGATTTCTAGAGTATATACTCAGTATTTGCACTTCTTCAATGTAGCTTCATAATTTTAAATGTTCCTGTATTTGTTGAGCTTTACTGTCATGAAGGAATGTGATAGAAACCTGGTATTTATAGTGAGTGAATTAAAGAAAAGAAAATAGAGATGATAGAATAATTCTCTGTAGAATTTGTCTTAAACAACAGTTTATATTTTAATATAGAATTAACACATTTGATTCCACTGGTGCAATATATAATGTAAGCAGGGTCCTTAGTATCATATTTGTATTTGACTATGGATTGAGCTTTGCAATTGTCACTGCTACCGTTTCTCAAGTTTTCCTCTTCCACGGAAAGTATGTTTCCTTGTATTCCACATTCTTCGATTACGTATTATTGATGCGATTTTTATAATTAACCAACTAACTATATATATTTTGGTGGTTGTGATTTTGAAAGAGAGATTCTTTTCATGTAGAGGAAGACAACAGCTGCACTAAAAGAACAAGCCAGAGACTTGCATACAAGAATCATGAAGAAAAACTGCGCACAAGTCCCTGACTGGTGGTTCATGACAAATTTAGTCCTTATGATTATTTTGACATTGGTATGTTGTGAAGGCTTTGACAAGATTTAGTCCGTATGACAAATTAGTTCATGACAAATTTAGTCCTTATGATTATTTTGGCATTGGTATGTTGTAAAGGCTTTGACAAGAAGCTCCAACTTCCATGACGAAGATCACTGACAAGAAGCTTATCATATGGGGTTTGTTAATATTGTCAAATAACTCAAAATTTGATGTATTTGATCTTTTTATTCCATACAAGCTTACGATAAAATTGTATGTTACTCTATTGCTCTAAAAAATGAATCATGTATAAATATTACTTTAAAAAATTAAAAATCTAAAATCTTGATTATGTATTTCAACCTTTTCACTATAATGTTTAAAATGTGATTGAAATACTTCATAAAGTTACACGAGATACCATCAGTTAGATTCAAATAAATAAAAACATGCTTAAATATTACTCTTAATATGCATTTGAATATACTTTTTTTGAAATTTGAATTTGATAAGATACATCATTTCAACTGGACCTAACCAAAGAAATGGGTAAATGGATCAAGCAGAAAATATCAAACAAGCCCAGTAAAAAAAGAAGAACCAGAAAACAAATGCAATCAACCAACAAAGAGAAAAAATGGCAAGATCAAGGAATTCATCGATGCCATTCAACTTCAAAATCTAATTCATAAGTGATTAAATTATTCACGAGTGCAACTTCGATTAAAAAATAAATAACTATTCACTAGTCAGAAATTGTTTATAAAAAATGAGATTGTGATCAAGGTTTTAAAAAACACTCAGCCACAAAACGAACGGTATCAGCATTAGGTTATTTCACATCACAGTCGCAATCTGTATCGACCGAAATTACGAAAACTTTTACCTGAGAATTAGGAAGCATGACGGGGGACTCAAGCAATGCGGTTTGACTAATTCCCGGAGGTATTGTGAGATGCGGTGATCGAGCTGGAACCGAAACCAAAGGGGTTGTAGTTACATTTTTATTGAAACCCTTTCTCTCCGCCAAGCTTCTTTTGCATGGAAATTCAAAAAACCTCTCACCTTTCGGATCTAATACAAAGTTTTCATTTATACTTTTGTTCATGTTATTTTCGTTTTCATCTTGTTCCATTGAAACTCAACCGGAACAAAAGAGAGAATAAATTAGAATTTTGATGGTGGTTCGTTTCAACTCTAGTGTGGAGCTGAAACCAATGAAACTATGAGGTTTTGAAGCTTATTCTGCTGAATCAAATCTATGTCTCCTCCCCAATACAATGCCCAAGTATCATATATAAATATAACCAATAAAAATGTGTGTATGGTAAGTGACACATTTGTTAATTTGATATATATTAAGTAAAAACTATGAATAAAGGAATCTCATAATAACTTTATTTTTAATTTTATCAAATATCTTTTATCATTTTAAAATATACATCACTTTAGCGTATAAAGTGTATTATACGAATAATACAAATTAAGTAATTTAATTCATTTTTGTTTAAAAAAGTTTTCTTTATAAATTATTTTACAAAAATATATTTATTAATAATGCATATAATATTATTTTTGGATCTGATACAAAAGATTTTTTTTAATTATTTTATAAAAATATATTTTATAAAAATAAAAAAATAAGCATTAATAATAAAGTAAAAACAAAGGACAAGAAAATAAAAAGATTGAAAGAATCCTATAAACAATTTGGCGAGGCCTTCGACCAAAAAGCTGAAATCAAAAAGCAGATAGATTCAGTCCAAAAGGAGGCCTTCCATAAAAAAAAATCTAAAAGAGAACCTACTCGATACCAAAGATGAGGAAATTAACGCCACTAACAAGATAGCAAAACCACCTACTAATAACTACTAATAAACATTGGTATGAAAAAAAAAAACCATAATATGTTTGATTGTTTAAAAAATACACAAAAATTGAGAAACAACAACAATGATATGACAAAAAAGTTACCTACCAAGAAGTAGATACACAATGTTGTCATGACACTAAATTTTGTTACAACAAGTATTTAAAAATTTGAAATAACAATGATAGGACAATATACCTTCCAAAACTAAAAAAAAAAATCAATTGAACATGTTTTTTCTAACTATTGTCAAAAACATATTAGGAAGGGAAATTCTGCATGACACTTTGATAAATGGATTGTGGTGGTGATGTTGATGGTGGATTCAGTGAGGAACTTGCAAGATGAAAAGAGGATTGACATGAAGTATACAAAGACTCATCATTCAAATCCTCTTTAGGCCTTAGGAATCCAGTATCAAAGTCCCTCATCTGTTGATTTGAAAGGTAAGACTGAACATAATTCAATGGTTTTGCATAGCTGAAATTAGCACCATCTAGAGAAAAATTTCCAGATGAAGGAGGATTCAATGGCAGTGGCATTGGAAATTCTGGGAACATCGGGGGAATATGTCCGACTTGAGGCGCAACACCACATTCGAGATTTGTTCCATAGGAGCATCCATATGGTACAACACTATCCAAGGAAGAATACTTCATTTGGGATATGGAGGAAGGTCCAAACTTCATATCATTCGCGAAACTTCCCATCAAACTTGACCGCACAAACTCATCGCTAAAATCGGGTTTTCTATCAAAATGAGATGCAAGGGGTTGATGAGTTTCAAACTTTAGGTTACCAGCACCCCCATGTAACCCATTAGCACCACTTGAATGTGAACCAAAATCATTTGAGTTTATGTGATTGTTATTCTTAGCAGTTGGAACCTCATGGTTATGTTTTCCCTCATAAGTAGTAATCACATATTTTAGATTGTGTGAAGCTCTTTCCACATGTTTCCTTACACCACATCCAGCACTTGTGCATTTGTAGTAGCTCCTACAAGAGATGGATGAGAGAATTTTACATGCATATACTAACTTATAAGCTCGGGCGAAAATGTATGAATGTTACACTTCATAACATCATAGAGATTTGTTCAAATTTTGCTACAGAACAGTGCTATAACGCGATTAAAGCCACTATTTGACAACTTTTTTTAACAAGTAACATATCCCGAACAATAGTGATTTGTTCAAATTTTGCTACATCAATAATATTTTCTACTAAATAGGCCAATAGTTGAAATATCATTACCTCGGGTTTGGATTCCCTTTGACAACCTTTTGCCCGTACTTTCGCCAACGATAACCATCATCAAGTATGTCAATTTCACTCTCGATTTGGACTACCACACGTGGCTCACGGCTAGCTCTCGCAGACACCATTGGTTCAGTCGGATAGCTTTCCTTTTTCCTACAAAAATAATTAAAGCAGCAACACATAAGATTTATTTTTATCTGTATTACCAATGCCAAAATAATGACACTATCAAATAAAGCACAATACCTTCTTTTCGATTCCGAATCACCATCTTCAGTACTATCTTCATTCGGTAAAACTGTTTGAGTGGATCCATTTTTATTACCATCATGATTAACAAGTGCAGAAGAATTCTCTTGGGCTTCATCTGATTCAAACACACCTAACAATCTACCTCTTTTCATGCGATCTGAAAGCTCGGTCACAGAAGACGGAGATGTCCTTTCTTGATCATCAAGCTTCAACTCGGAATCATGGTTTACATCATTTTCTCGCGAGTTAACTTTATCGCGTGTTTCATTGGCTTCAGCAGCTTCTAAAATCTCATCATTCAACGATATTGATCCTCGACGATTCGAATGTGGTTTCGCATGGTTGTGATTACCCTTGTAAATAATCTTAGTTATCTGGCCGTCATGCGATCTTTCAACTTTTTTCTTGACCTGACAACTCGATTGAGTACATTTATAGTAGCTTCTTGGAAACTCACTTCCTTTTACTTGTTTTTGTCCATATTTTCTCCAATTATAACCATCATCAGTGTTCTTCGTTTCGATCGCATAACCTGTTTCTTTTTGTTCTACTTCTAAAACATGTTGTTGTCCAATATCATCAACGACGGGGATCGAATTCTCAAGAAGATTACTTTCATCACTAACTTCTTCGGAATGAGAGATTGGTACATCAATATTATCAACCACCAAATCTACCATTTTCAAATCATTGTGAAAAAGGAATCCATTATTTTTAAATAAGTTATTTGAAAAATCTTCTGAGAATGAAAAATCTATTGGTGCTTGACCTTGAACAAATATTTGGTCTTCTTTATGCTCTCCATTCATCATGTGATAATTATTAGAACCCTGGTGAGTTCAAGTTAATAGAAATATATTCTTAAGAAAAATACCACTTAGTAAAAACTTAGAATGCTTTGATATCAAGGTTATGAAAAAATATATATATTTTTCACAAATTAAATATGATTCTTATCGTGATAAATTCGATGACATATAACTGACTGATGAGTTTTTTATTAGACAATTATATCATGATTTTGAATAACTGGAAATACAAACATTTGTTCAGTCGCATGGTGACATTAGAGCTTCATAATTTAAGCTATGATAAAGAGAAAATCACATTATAATCCTTGATTTTTCAATAATAATTCAAATATATATAAGGTACCTGATTTAGAGAATTAGAATTAAAATCGACTTGAGACTTGAATTCGGAAGAGGCAATAATATTTGAGGAAGATGAAATATCCATGTTTCTTTCATTTTTTGCAACAGAAGTGAACATTGGAGGTTGAAGCATGGAAAAACTCCCTGTGGTGGGAGACGGCACGACCTAAAACATATGAAAAAAACAAATACTGAGAAGATGAAACCATTTTTAAAATTCAAAATAATTGAACACTCTTATCTGAGTATTTTCTTAATGAAAAATTACTCAGAGATGATAGAAGATCTTCAATCAATTAAATCGAATCAATTCTAATAAATTTAAATTGCAAAATTGAGATGAACTTAATACTTAAACATGGTTAATCTTAACATGACCTAATATTCAATTTGAATAAATATGAATAACTAAATACTTGTTTGCTACTAGAACTAAACTTGAAAAACAAATTTTCAATTTTCAGAAAAATAACCACTTCTAAAACTAATTTTCAAATTTTAAAAAAATAACCAAACTAATTTTCGATTCTATTTTTGTCCCGACTTTAAATGGTTTCCCAACAATGGATAATGAAATTGATTCATTTCGATTACTTCAGTCGAATTATGGACTATAAAATTTTTCAAAAAAAATAATTATATTTTTAAAAATCTAAAGGTAATTCACACGGTGTAAAACAATATTAAATTAATTAAAATCCTTAAATTTTATATGTCATATCAAAATTTAAAAAATAAAAATATAATGCTGAGAGATACACGTCACTCAGCGTAAATTTTACACTTATTTACTGAAAAAAATATATATCATTTCAACTGGACCTAACCAAAGAAATGGATAAATGGATCAAGCAGGAAATATCAAATAAGCCCAGTAAAAAAAACCAGAAAACAAATGCAATCAACAAACAAAAAGAAAAAATGGCAAGATCAAGGAATTCATGACATTCAACTTCAACATCTAATTCATAAGTGATTAAATTATTCGACGAATGCAACTTCGAATAAAAAAATAAATAACTATTCACTAGTCAGAAATTGTTTATAAAAAATGAGATTGTGATAGGTTTTAAAAAACACTCAGGCACAAAACGAACGGTATCAGTATTAGGTTATTTCACATCAGAGTCGCAACCAGTGCCGACCGAAATTACAAAAACTTTTACCTGACAATTAAGAAGCATGACGGGGGACTCAAGCAATGCGGTTGGACTAATTCCCGGAGGTATTCCCGGAGGTATTGTGAGATGCAGTGATCGAGCTGGAACCGAAACCAATGAGGTTGTAGTTACATTTTTATTGAAACCCCTTCTCTCAGCCAAACTTCTTTTGCATGGAAATTCAAAAAACCTCTCACCTTTCGGATCTGATAAAAAGTTTCCATCACCTCTATTTTCGTTTTCATTCATACTTTTGTTTATGTTACTTTCGTTTTCGTCTTGTTCCATTGAAACTCAACCGGGACAAAAGAGAGAATAAATTAGAATTTTGGTGGTTCGTTTAAGCTCCAGTGTAGTGTGGAGCTGAAACCAATAAAACTGATGAGGTTTTGAAGCTTATTCTACTGAACCAAATCTATGTCTCCTACCCAATACAATGCTCAAGCATCATATATAAATATAACCAAAAAAAATGTGTGTATGGTAAGTGACACATCTGTTAATTTGATATATATTAAGTAAAAACTAAGAATAAAGAAATCTCATAATAACTTTATTAAATTAATTTTATCAAATATCTTTTATCATTTTAAAATATACGTTACTTTAGCGTATAAAGCGTATTATACGAATAATACAAATTAAGTAATTTAATTCATTTTTGTTTAAAAAAGTTTTCTTTATAAATTATTTTACAAAAATATATTTATTAATAATGCATATAATATTATTTTTGGATCTGATACAAAAGATTTTTTTTTTAAATTATTTTATAAAAATATATTTTAATATTGATATGAAAATATATTTTATAAAAATAAAAAAATAAGCATTAATAATAAAGTAAACAATTTTTAAATGAGACAAGCTTTTGCAATAATGAGATATATTATGAGACAAATTCAAAGAATATGCATATATAGTGTTTTGGAAACAATGCATATAATATTAATTAGACAACACAAACTTTATTTCTTTTTTTTATTTGTATTTTAAAGTTTATTATTTATAAAAGGGAATTAATTGATTTTGTTACTTTTTAAAAAATATTTCTTTTTCTTTATTTGTCTATCTTAACTTTTTATTATTTCATTTCACTTTTATTTTTTATAAAGAATAACTTTGAAAATGAATACTACTAGTTTCAACTTTTTCTAAAATAAAAATTAATTTTTTTATTTAAAAAAAAAACAAAAAATGCGGAAATAGTACAATTAAAAAATAATTAATATATTGAAACAAAATTATATTATAACCAATCGACCTTAAAATTTGAAGGAGAATTGTTAGTGAAGTAGTTCTACACGTCAATGCATGAGAGCAAGAAAGAGGTGGATAGTGTTAGTACAATAACCACACATTTTTAACCTCAAAACAAAACATTTTGTTATGTGGAATTTAATTGCTGTTCATGAAATCTATTAGCAACTATTTTCGGTCCAAAAGGAGGCCTTTCATAAAAAAAAAATCTAAAAGAGAACCTACTCGATATCAAAGATGAGGAAATTAGCCACTAACAAGATAGCAAAACCACCTACTAATAACTACTAATAAACATTGGTATGAAAAAAAAAATACCATAATATATTTGATTATTTAAAAAATACACAAAAATTGAGAAGAAACAACAATAATATGACAAAATAAAGTTAGCTACCAAGAAGTAGATACACAATGTTGTCATAAAATTTATATCATGACACTAAATTTTGTTACAACAAGTATTCAAAAATTTGAATCAATTAAACATGTTTTTTCTAACTATTGTCAAAAACATATTAGGAAGGGAAATTCTGCATGACACTTTGATAAATGGATTGTGGTGGTGATGTTGATGGTGGATTCAGTGAGGAACTTGCAAGATCAAAAGAGGATGGACATGAAGTATACAAAGACTCATCATTCAACTCCTCTTTAGGCCTTAGGAATCCAGTATCAAAGTCCCTCATCGGTTGATTTGAAAGGTAAGACTGAACATAATTCAATGGTTTTGCATAGCTAAAATTAGCACCATCTAGAGAAAAATTTCCAGATGAAGGAAGATTCAATGGCAGTGGCATTGGAAATTCTGGGAACATCGGGGGAATATGTCCGACTTGAGGCGCAACACCACATTCGAGATTCGTTCCATAGGAGCATCCATATGGTACAACACTATCCAAGGAAGAATACTTCATTTGGGATATGGAGGAAGGTCCAAACTTCATATCATTCGCGAAACTTCCCATCAAACTTGACCGCATAAACCCATCGCTAAAATCGGGTTTTCTATCAAAATGAGATGCAAGAGGTTGATGAGTTTCAGACTTTAGGTTACCAGCACCCCCATGTAACCCATTAGCACCACTTGAATGTGAACCAAAATCGTTTGAGTTTATGTGATTGTTATTCTTAGCAGTTGGAACCTCATGGTTATGTTTTCCCTCATAAGTAGTAATCACATATTTTAGATTGTGTGAAGCTCTTTCCACATGTTTCCTTACACCACATCCAGCACTTGTGCATTTGTAGTAGCTCCTACAAGAGATGGATGAGAGAATTTTACATGCATATACTAACTTATAAGCTCGGGCGAAAATGTATGAATGTTACACTTAATAACATCATAGAGATTTGTTCAAATTTTGCTACAGAACAGTGCTATAACGCGATTAAAGCCACTATTTGACAACTTTTTGTAACAAGTAGCATATCCCGAACAATAGTGATTTGTTCAAATTTTGCTACATCAACAATATTTTCTACTAAATAGGCCTATAGTTGAAATATCATTACCTCGGGTTTGGATTCCCTTTGACAACCTTTTGCCCGTACTTTCGCCAACGATAACTATCATCAAGTATGTCAATTTCACTCTCGATTTGGACTACCACACGCGGCTCACGGGAAGCTCTCGCAGACACCATTGGTTCAGTCGGATAGCTTTCCTTTTTCCTACAAAAATAATTAAAGCAGCAACACATAAGATTTATTTTTACTTATATTACCAATGCCAAAATAATGACACTATCAAATAAAGCACAATACCTTCTTTTCGATTCCGAATCACCATCTTCAGCACTATCTTCATTCGGTAAAATTGTTTGAGTGGATCCATCTTTATTACCATCATGATTAACAAGTGCAGAAGAATTCTCTTGGGCTTCATCTGATTCAAACACACCTAACAATCTACCTCTCTTCATGCGATCTGAAAGCTCGGTCACAGAAGGCGGAGATGTCCTTTCTTTATCATCTAGCTTCAACTCGGAATCATGGTTTACATCATTTTCTCGCGTGTTTACTTTATCACGTGTTTCATTGGCTTCAGCAGCTTCTAAAATCTCATCATTCGAAGGTATTGATCCTCGACGATTCGAATGTGGTTTCGCATGGTTGTGATTGCCCTTGTAAATAATCTCAGTTATCTGGCCGTCATGCGATCTTTCAACTTTTTTCTTGACCTGACAACTTGATTGAGTACATTTATAGTAGCTTCTTGGAAACTCACTTCCTTTTACTTGTTTCTGTCCATATTTTCTCCAATTATAACCATCATCGGTGTTCTTCGTTCCGGTCGCATAACCTGTTTCTTTTTGTTCTACTTCTAAAACATGTTGTTGTCCAATATCATCAACGACGGGGATCGAATTCTCAAGAAGATTACTTTCATCACTAACTTCTTCGGAATGAGAGATTGGTACATCAATATTATCAACCATCAAATCTACCATTTTCAAATCATTGTGAAAAAGGAATCCATTATTTTTAAGTAAGTTATTTGAAAAATCTTCTGAGAATGAAAAATCTATTGGTGCTTGACCTTGAACAAATATTTGGTCTTCTTTATGCTCTTCATTCATCATGTGATAATTATTAGAACCCTGGTGAGTTCAAGATAATAGAAATATATTCTTAAGAAAAATACCACTTAGTAAAAACTTAGAATGCTTTGATATCAAGGTTATGAAAATATATATATATATATATATATATATATATATTTTTCACAAATTAAATATGATTCTTATCGTGATAAATTAGATGACATATAACTGACCGATGAGTTTTTTTATTAGACGATTATATCATGATTTTGAGTAACAGGAAATACAAACAATTGTTCAGTCACATGGTGACACTAGAGCTTCATAATTCAAGCTATGATAAAGAGTAAAATCACATTATAATCCTTGATTTTTCAATAATAATTCAAATATATATAAGGTACCTGATTTAGAGAATTAGAATTAAAATCAGCTTGAGACTTGAATTCGGAAGAGGCAGTAATATTTGAGGAAGATGAAATATCCATGTTTCTTTCATTTTTTGCAACAGAAGTGAACATTGGAGGTTGAAGCATGGAAAAACTCCCTGTGGTGGGAAACGGCACGACCTAAAACATATGAAAAAACAAATACTGAGAAGATGAAACCATTTTTAAAAGTCAAAATAATTGAACACTCTTATCTAGTATTTTTTTAATAAAAAATTACTCAGAGATGATAGAAGATTTTCAATCAATTAAATCGAATCAATTTTAATAAATTTAGATTGCAAAATTGAGATGAACTTAATACTTAAACATGGTTAATCTTAACATGACCTAATATTCAATTTGAATAAGTATGAACAACTAAATACCTGTTTGCTACTAAAACTAAACTTGAAAAACTAATTTTCAATTTTCAAAAAAATTACCACTTCTAAAACTAATTTTCAAATTTCAAAAAAATAACCATACTAATTTTCGATTAAATTGATTCATTTGGGTTACTTCGGTCGAATTTCAGACTATAAAATTTTCCAAAAAACAAAATTATATTTTTAAAAATTTTAAAGGTAATGCACACCGTGTAAAACAATATTAAATTAATTAAAATCCTTAAATTTTTTGTCATATCAAAATTTTAAAAATAAAAATATAATGCTGAGGGATACACGTCTCAGTTTAAATTTTACACTTATTTATTGAAAAAAATATCATTTCAACTTCAAACAGGAAATATCAAAACAAGCCCAGTAAAAAAAAAGAAAGAACCAAAAAACAAATGCAAAATGCAATCAACAGAGAGAAAAAATGACATTTAACTTCAAAATCTAATTGATTAAATTATTAGACGGGTGTAACTTCGATTAAAAAAATAAATAACTATCACAAATTGTTTATAAAAAATGAGATTGTGATCAGGTTTTAAAAAACACTCGCCACTCACCACAAACGGAAGGTATCAGTATTATTTCAAGTCGCAACCACAAACGGTATCAGTATTATTTCAAGTCGCAACCACAAACGGTATCAGTATTAT